GACCCCTAACTGATAGCAGTGCCTTCGTCAATTGGTCTCTACCTTATGGTTTTGAGACAGAGTCTGTTGCTGTCAGTTGGGGCAGGCTTGCTGGGCAGGAAGTGCCAGGGATTTGCCTGTCTCCACAGCCCCAGGCTGGAGTTACAGATACACACTGCCATGCCTGGCTTTTACATGGATGCCGGGGATCTAAACTCAGATCTTTACAATTGCATAACTAGCACTTTACCCACTATGCTATTGCCCCAACTCTCATCTTCCTATCTTAACGGATGTAGTCCTAGCATTCTGGAAGGCCGACTTCATTTGGAATTCTTCTATTCCTCAGCTATTGTGGCTGGAATATGCGGGTACAGAGAGTAACACCAGCTTAAGGTCATGGTGCGGCTTCCTCTTCCTCCCAGACCAGACCTCCATCTGCACCACAGGTCGAGGCGGGTCTTCCCACATGTTCAGTCATTGTCTGTGTCTTCAAACTGCTGCTCTTCTCGAATGTGTGCACTGGTGACCATTAAGACTCAAGCCGATCTTTAAGAAACTAGACCAAGAGCAGTGGGTTCAGAACCTGGTGGGCGGAGCATTCTGAGGGCCCGGGTCTCCAGCGGCTCCTTGCCTATGTCTCCCTTCCTCTTGTCTAGTCTGACTGTGGTACTGGTCAGGTGCTGTGTGGCTGCAGCCTTGGACACAGCACAGCCCCTTCATGGAGGCTAGACATCCAAACACTGTGAACTATGAGGCAGATGGGTGCAGGTTTGAGGGTACTGGGTACCAAGTTTGCTAAGGCTGGCAGAAAGGTTGAGAAGTGGATGCAGATGGAGAAGTGAGGAAAGAAAAGACTAGCTATCCTAGGGCCAGGGTCTCTGAATTGTCAGTGGAGTATAGGAGGTTGAACACTTGTCTTCCAAATGCTAAGAGCCCCAATTTGTTGCAGCTTATGTAGCTCTCAAGGGCCAGCCTCCTCTACCAGAACAAGGTAAAACACTGAGCCCATCCTTGTGCAGCTTAGGATTAGGCAGAAGTCGGACACTATTCCCTGTGCCATGCCTCCTTGGTAACCAATGCTTCTTTACCAATATCTTTTCTTTCTAAAGATTTACTTTTGTTTTGAGATGGTGTATCACTATGTAGCCCAGTCCGGGCTGAATCTCAATACATAGATGAAGCTTTCCTGAGAGATTACAGAGATCCACCTGCCTCTGCCCCTGGGATTAAAGGGATGTGTGCTAGCAGAGGCCAAGGAGCCTTCAGAGTGGAGTTACGGGCAGTTAGGAGCTGTCCAACTTGGGTGCTGGGAACCAAAGTCTGTCCTTGGAAGAGCAGGAAGCCCTCGTTTATTTTATTTTTTTGAGACAATGTCTCAACATGTATCCTTGGCTAGCCTGGAGTTTGCCATATAGAGATCCACCTGCCTCAGCCTCCTGAGTGCTGGGATTAAAAAGGATGGCACCACCACACCCAGCTACCAGTGCTGGGTTCTCTCTCTCTCTCTCTCTCTCTCTCTCTCTCTCTCTCTTTCTCTCTCTCTCTCTCCCTCTCTCCCCCCCTCTCTCTTTCCTTCTCTCTCTCTTTCTCTGAGATGATCTCATGTAGCCCAGGCTGCCCTCCAACTCCCTAGGTAGTCAAGGATGGCCTTGAATTTCTGAATGCTAGGAATGTACGTGATCACTGCCATGCCAGACTTTACTAAGTTTCAAGATGAGAGTGCCACTCAAAGCTTCCAGAAAGAATCTGCACAAAATTCTCACCCCACCAAGATGGCACTAGAAGCAGCTCTTTTCTTTTGCATGTTTGTTTCATCAAACAAACTCCCACTACGAAGCTGAGGCTATCCTGGACTTGCTATGTAGCCCAGAGTCCAGACTAAATCCCAGCTTGCAATCCTCCTGCCTCAGGCTCTTGAGTGCATGCCCAACAGAAGCTGCCTTTAGGAAGCAGAGTGTCTACATCATGTTGACACATAGCTCAAGGTGACTAGCAAAGAAATGGTACCTCATGTCCCCTGGGAGCGATCATCCATGAAGGAGTTGGTAGATGAATGGCCAAGCTTCCCAGCCTGTAGCTGAGAGAACTCAGGTGTGTGCTGGGCAGGGTATGCAGCAGTGGCTCTTGGTGCCTGACTATAGTGCCTTATTTCCACACACCCCCTGTGCTGCCCCATGGAGCGTCTGTCAATCACCTCCCAAAGAAAGTAATTTCGTCTGTGTCCTTGTCTCAGGATCTGCTTCTGAAGGAATGAAAGACAGAACACTTCATGCTGCAGTCTTGGCATCCAAAAACAAAGGGCTGAATTATGGCCGAGACTTCTTTCCCTTCCAGGTCTCTGCCTCTCAACAAGGGAAACAGGACTCCTTGCTTCTTAGTTTCATTTGGTGTCAGGCTAAACATGCCCGGTGCACACATGTTAGCCCTTCACAATGGTCTAGTCTCTATGGGATGTGTGTAGGCATGCGAAGTGAGGCTGTAGGTAAAGGACTCTCATGTGGCTTAGTCCCTGAGAGCACTCAAGTCTCTCTGAAAACCTGAAGCCAGGAACCTAAGATAGGCCATAACATTCTGAATGGGGTGAGGGAAAAGGACCCCGTGGGGAGCTGGAACTTGCCCACATATGTTGCATCAAGAAAAGAGAGTGGGATTACAAGGAAGATTAAGGGTTAAAATGTAAGCACCTAAGATACTGAGGAAGAGGAAGAAGGCTTATAGTTGGATATGAGATAATGACGCTAGACTGACAAGAAGAAAGACAGGACTTTGACTCAGTGACCTCAGGGTGCCCTGCTCCCACCAAAGCCCTTCAGCAACACACGGAAAACACTATTGGCCTTTCGCAGAGACTTGCTTCGAATGAACAGGCTTAATTGTTAGCAAAGATGGCTTCTAATAAGAAGCTTCTAGCTGGGAGACCACCTCACAGCACTGCCTAGACAAGGAGCTAAATCTGAGATAACTAAGAAAGACTGCAGCTGAATCTTGGTACCTGGTAGAGCTCACGCTCTGCCATGGTGAAGCTACAGGTTGATCATGGTCCCAGACTCACGTGCAGCTAGTTTCTGTATACAGACCAGGACCATTGCCCAGGGAATGATGCTGTCCATAGTGGGCTGGGCCCTCCCACATCAGCACCACTCTCCGGGCAAGTGGTTCTGGGCTGTATAAGAATGCTAGCTAAACATGAGCCTGTGAATAAGCCAGCAAGCAGCTCTCCTCCATAGTTTCTGCTTCAAATTTCTGCTTGAGTCAATGCCCTGACCTCTCTCAGTGATGAACGGTGTCTCAGAAGTATAAACCAAGTCAATTCTTTCCTCCCCTAAGTTGCTTTCGGTCATGGTGTTTGTCACAGCAACAGAATGAAACTAGAACATTGACCAAGTGACTAAGATGATAAGATTTCACCATTTATCATTTTATAAAACCTAGGGACAAATATAAGATAAGAACCTGATACAGTCACTACGACCATGATACACCTGGCTACCATTTGCCTTCTGGCACCCCCCCCCAAAAGACAGTACAACCTTCTGGCACGCCTATTCTCCCTGGAGCATTCTTTCTCTCATCCTGGGTCTATCCAGGACTTATTGATCCATTCTGACCAGCTGGGTGTGAACTCTACCTCTCAAACCAAACGCTCTATTCAATTGGACAGCGGACCAGGATTCCCATAACAACAGCTAGTAGATGGGCCAGGACATAAGCAGAATTCCAGTAACAACAGCTAGTAGACAGTCAAGGTCAAAGTTGGAGTCAGAGACAGCTAGAGAGGAGCTTCAGCTACCCCTAAGTAGGTGGGTAGTGCTTAAATAGCATGTGACCAACTCCCCATCGGGCCAGGGCAGCAGGCTTAGAGCATGTGGGCCCTTCTGGAAAAATAACCAGTCTCAGAAGAGATTTCCTTAGTCTTTGTCCAGTTTCTGCCATTGCCCCATAGAAACTCTAGAAACGGGGAACTCAAAAGATTTCCACCCCATCCTCTAAGCCTCTCCCTGATTCTCAGGTGTTTCTCCCACTTTCCTTAACTTTTTCCTTTTCCTCCATTTCTCACTCTTCTGTAATAATTCAGACTAAAGCCTGCCTCTGCTGTGCAGGTTCTCACAAGAGTCTGTGCCATTAGTATTCTTCAGCATGTGACAATGCACTTAAAGCTACTGTCCCAGGTCAGGCTCTGATGACTGTAAGTGCTTGGCATTTTAGGTCCACGGATCACGCACAACTGTGCTGTGAAAGGTCCTGTCACACTCAAAGTCTCTGAAAAGGCAGAGTTTTATATTTCCTGTCAACTGTGGCCGATTCTAAACCAGTGGGCAGAAAGAACACAGAAACACTAGCCTGTCTCCTCTGAGGACGCTTCCTTTGGAAGACTGGCAGAGGTGAAATGGCTCCAACTCACCTCTCTCTCGCATTTTCACTTACCACTCTCTTCCTCCCTCCCACTGTCAAATGTATCATGCCACAAGCCAGAAAGCTACCCAAAGAAGGGCCTTCTACATTTGTTTAATTGAGACAAAGTGTTGTGAGACTTCCCTGGGTGCATGTGCACACACAGACCTGTTCGCTACAGATAGTGTTACTACCACCGCAGGAGAGTAAAGACCATTGTCCCAATTCTTGTAGTTGAACTAAGCAAGCTTTATTTTCTCTCAGACAGGGCTCGCTCTCTAAAGCAGGGTTTGAGACACAGCCATGAACACAGAAGACAATGGGGTTTGTATAGCTTTAAAAAACCTGCAAAACTAGGAGGTTTTCAAGGGCCAGGGGGATATTTTGGTTATGTGGGAATTTGGCCAAACATTTCAAAATTATTTGGCAGAACATCTTAGCTTATCAGTGTGAATGTCAGGGCATAGAGTACGGAACATGTCAAATTCCAGCAAATGGGTTAAGACATGGTCCAATTTAAGTTTGAAGGAAAACAGGAATGAACGTATTTTGACCTTGTAAGAAGATGGCCTCTAATCTTAAAGTAGAGTTAGGCTTGTCCATCAGTAGGGCACAGATGACGGAGAAAGGCTACTTGTTCCTCAATGTTCCCGTCTCTTTCCACTGAAGAGACACACTTTCCTCAGGAAGACGCTTCTGCTAGAGCTGTTGGCTCGTAGGTTTGATGATGAAGGCAAACAGGACTTGATAAACTGCCAGCAGGGGAAGTGTGACCAGACACATTTTATAGCTGTGTTTCAGACTCTGGCGGGCTGAAGTGGGGAGAGAAGAGGCACGGATACTTCCCAGGGACGCCTGAAGTGAAGGTTCAGGTTCACGTGATCTTGGTGGGTATTAGGGTTTGGCGGGTTCTTCCCGAGGGGTTCCAGGCTTTGTGCTACAGAAAAGAGCTATAGCAGAGACACATAGTGGTAGAAACAGGAATGGGTCGTTAGAAAAGGTACACTTGGGAGCTGGTGAGATGCCTCGGCAGTTAAGGTTAGGAGCACCTGCTGCTCTTCCAGAGACTGGAGTTGGATTCTTGGCGCCCATGGCAGGCGTCTCACAACCACCTGTAACCCAGCTCCAGGGGAACAGATGCCCCGGGCCTCCTCATAGCCACGAGCACGTACCCATATGCAGACACATCCACCTACGCGTAACTAAAAAGGAGTTGAAAAAGTAAATCTTTTTTCTTTAAAAGAAAAAGACACTTTCGAGGGAGGAAGTTAGAACAGGGGAAAGTTGAGCAGCATAAATGGCAAGCTCTGTACTAGGATGAGGACAAGGCATTTATGGTTCATAGTGTGGGCTCTGGAGCTTCTTTGTACAGCACAGGGTTCGTTGCCCATGCTCTTTGGCATGTGCTTCCACACACAACCTAAGGGACCACCCGTCTCATTATCATCTCTGACACTCTGTGCCTGCTCCTCTGGATCCAGGCAGTTCTAGTACTGCTCTTGGCTGGGGGAGGGGGAGAGCATATAGGTATGTGGTTGGGGGGTGGGGAGCAGGGTGGTTCCGGGGTTCGACACTTTGTTTACCAATGCGTTTTCCTGTAATCCTAATTTTGCATCATTTATGTTAGGCCTTTGGACCTCACTGCTCCACGAGAGCCCCCCTAATAATGGGGCTTACAAAGATTATGTCTACCACTCTCACTTAAGATAGGAATAAAGACTTTATCTGGGATGGGGAAGATGTTTCCTTCCCTGCATTTCTTCCACCTGTCCCATTCCCATTAGTTCCTTCGTATCAGAGATTAGACCAATTCAGTCATATTTTGGCTTTCCAAGTGTAAGGAAACAATTATTTCCCAGGGTACAATGACCTAGGATGGCTGGATTCACAGCTAGAGCTCTTATTACGGGAAGGGAATGTCAAGCTTCCTGCCAGAAGAGCCAGAATTTAGCATGTTTTTATGGATTCCTGGGGCTGATGTCTCACAAAGGAGCACCCTGCACCTCCCCCCCCCCCCCCCCCCCCCCCCCCCCCCCCCCCCCCCCCCCCCCCCCGCTTAGGCCTTAGAGGAGCTACTGGGACCAGGAGCGTGGAGGATCGCTGAACTGTGGCCGAGTGGCCAGAGAAACCTGATCCTGTTGCCTCGACACGACATCAGTCTCAGCAAACCTTACAGGCAGACTTGTGAAAATGTCGCCATCAGGTCTGGGGTCGGGGCAGGGTGCCTGAGTTAACCAGCTCCCAGGCGCTGCAACTGTGCTCTGCTGCATCCACAAACCCAACAGAACGACTAGAGTTTATGCTTAGGGCTACCGGGTTGTACAACCTCAGCTAGATTCTGGACTTAATGGCCAAGTATGGCTGTAAGCCTAACATCAAAACCTCTTGCCTGCTTCAAAGGGCCTCTGCCACCTTCTGCTTGGGGATCATCCACCTCTCCAAACAGATGAAGTTGGGCAAATTGTTCAACTGTTAGGTCAAACTCCCGGGTCCCTGCTCCAGCCCTCTAAATTACATAATGTGACCTTGTTGAAAAGACTGCTAATACCATTTGGGAGCAGGAAGCAGATTTTTGACTGCTTATGGCTGGTGGGTGGGGCTAGGGCTGGGGTCAGGGTACGCGGCTGAATGTGGGTGGGAAGGTTTTAAGAAACGAAAGGGGCTTGGCAGATGGAGAGGGCAGGAAGCCTGGGGTGGCCACGGCTTGGGGATAAAATTGATTGGTGTGTCAGCAAAATCTGTCACTGGCTTTGGCGATTCAAAAGGCAGACATGTTCTCTCATCTCTGCTAATCCTCATCTGATACAGCGGATTTTCCAGCCACTTTATCTCCAGAAAAAAACAAAACAAGCAGTTAAACCTGCACGCACAGCCCTCGCTTGTCGTCTGTGTGCCCCCTGCTCCGGCCTTTATTTCCTATTGCAACATTTCCTGTGCTATGGAGGGTCTGGGGGCGCTGGGGCTAGACTCCCAGGATGGTAAGCAGCATTTCAGAGGGACCTTTAAGGGTTCTCCACAGATGCTTTCCACCGTCTATTTTCTTGCTGGATCCTGAGTTGCTGTCGGGCCTTCGCTTGATGAAGGGTTTCCAAACTGATGGATACGGAGAAATTGGAGCGAGCTTCTGACCGGCTTTTCTCACTTAGTCTAACACTAGAAGAGAAAGTGACTGGGCATAGCCAAGCGTGGAGGTGCGGACAGGATGTGTCTTGGGTAGCCTATGACCTGGTTGGTGACTTGTCCTTTCTCCTTCCAGGTAGGGATCCTACAGCTCAATGGCTCTGAGCCACCTGGTGCGAGGAAGGCCAAGGGATGCTGATCCTGCTTCTTCATGGTGAGTCCTTCTGCTGTGGCCGGGGATGGGACAAGGCTTCTGCCTAAAGAATTAGGGCTCCAAGTGGCTTCAGTCACAGCTCCATCTGGCTGCTCTTTCTTAGCGTATTTCCCTGCTATGTGACTGTGGTGAAGAGCTAGAGAATGAGAAAACAGTAGACAGTAGATTGTTTTTCCTTAATTTGTTAATATACAAAACTCCTGATCTAAATATGAAATAGCGTTCTTTTTTATTTTATTATTTCTATTTTTTTTTGGCTTTCGAGACAGGGTTTCTCAGTGTAGCCTTGGCTGTCCTGGAACTCACCTTTTTTTTTTTAAAAAAAAATAAGACTTATATATCTTTATGTTTTGTATGTGAGTTTATTAGTGTTATAACCCCAAACCAGTGATTTTTCTAGACATACTATTTTAAAGTCAAGGTGGATGCTGTGGCTCAAACCTTTAGTCTCAGCACTTAGGAGGCAGAGGCAGGTGGATCACTGTGAATCTGAGGCCAACTGAGTCTATAGAATGCATTCTAGGGCTACATAGTGAGTCTAAGTCTTTTTTAAAAAGTTTCATATTTTAAACTCACTTAATGAAAAACAAAAATCTCTTAGGAAAAAATCTTCCTAAGGGGAGGGTGCAATGGAACTGTGGCATAACAGATGTTTAAATAATATTTTTGTTTTTTCAAACTTTGCCCCCCCCCCGCCGTGTGTGTGTGTATTGAAACAGGGTCTCATATATGCAGGTTAGCCTTAAACTTCACTTCCCAAGTACTGGGATTACAAATCTGTGCCACCAAACCTCTCTCACTCCAACATATCAAGATGGGGCTGAGCCTGTGGCTCTGTGGTAGAATGAGTGCTTAGCATGAATAGGGTAAAGGGAACCATCTCAGCATGGTAAAAACCACAAACACTTCTGTTCCAAAAACCTAGAAATACTTGTCACAAAATACTTTATCCAGTGGTTCAAATCTCAGCTAGCCTAATGGTAAAAAAAAAAATCAATCAATCAACCAATCAATCATCTCCTTTTCAGTTCTTTAGTAAATGATTCTACACAGAGAATCTGTTTCTCTGACCCCTGTGGAGAATGAATTACTTGATGTTATGGCGATCTATGTAATGACCTTTGTCTATATTGCACATAGTACAGAACACTTTACCAGATGGTTCTAAAATACTAGTAATGGAATTCTCTTATTTTGTGTTCTAGCTTTCTTTATGTCACTGTGAGAAAACACTCCAACCAAAAGCAACCAAGGGGAAGAAAGGATTTATTCAATTAACAGTTTTAGGTCAAGGCAAGCTCAATGCCGGAAGTTGTGGGGAGGCTGCTTTCTATTCAGCACAGGAATAGGAGCTCACTTCACAGCCAAAGAAGTACAGTTGCTGGCCTGCTGGTTGGCTTATACTTAGCTAGATTTCTTTTTTCTTTATTATATTTTTAAATTTATTTTACATACCAACCACCCTTTCCTCTCCCTCACCTCCTTTCTACCCAGCCTCATCCACTCCTCAGAAAGGGTAAGGCATCCTATGAAAGTCAACAAAGCCTGGCACATCAATTGAGGCAGGACCAAGTCCCTCCCCCCTGCATCAAGGCTGGGTGAAGCATCCCACCATAGGGAATGGGCTCCAAAGAGCCATTAGCTAGGTTTCTTATTAGTCCAGAGCCACCTACCTAGGAATTGTGCTGCCTGTAGTTGGCTGTGTCTTCCTATAATCAATTAACAATCAAGACAATCCCTCACAGACATGACCACAGTCTAATCTGATCTGGGGATTTTCTCAATCAAGGGTCCCTTCTCAGATGACTCTAGATTGTGTCGAGTTGACAGTGAGAGCTAACTAGAACACTCTATAGTCCATTTTTTTTAAAAAAAAAAAGTGGGACATGCTCTGTTCCATCAAGCAATAGACAAGGCACCTTTAGTGTGTGCAAGGGATGCTATAAGGGGTACAGCCACATGGCCTATGTCTTTGAGAAACCTACATTCCTTAACGGAGAATCAATCAATCAATCAAACCAGAAAATAAAAATCATCAGTAGGGCACAGGGCACATCACGATATGTAGGATATGATTTCCTACTGGAGGAGCCTTCAAAGGACAGAGGTTGACATTTATATAATCACCAATAGCCAGGGACTTGCCATTTCTCCTCCTTAGAAAGGAGATTTGACTGAGTCATGGGGACAGAATGTTTGCTTCCAAGAGCCAGGATTATTTTCAAGGAGTACCCAAAGCTCTGCTGCCACTCACACAATCCAGACAGTATTCGAGCCTGATGCTGCAGAATAGAGCTGTCTTCCCTACAGAACCCTGAAAGACATCCAGACTACTTGTGACAGTTTGGCAAGCTCAGTGGTGACATCATTTACTAACAATAGACACACTTAAAATTAATGACCAGCTCCACATCCCTAGTGCTTTCATTTAAAAGACTCCATCAGCACAGAGACTATTTCTCTGATGACGAGTCACAAGCCGTGGGAACAACATGTTCTGAAAAAGCAGGCAGGGATAGCAATCTGCCTCCTTGGCAGGGGGTGGGGGGTGGGGAAGGCTGATTGAGCTTCCCCAAACTTGGACTTGAGAATCAGAAGTGGCTCAGAGCAGGGGAGACATGAGGCAGTCACAGTCTTCCTGGGGGCATGCTTCTCCTCATAGGTGGGTAAGGACACACACTCCCACAGCCTCCTTCAGAGTTACCAATCCCCTAGCTCCCTGGCGTTCATAGCATCATACGTGGTTGTTGATTGAATTCATGAATCAGCCCAGTGCAGACTCTTGCTCGGTTGGATGCACTCATTCCTACTAGGTATTAGGTCTCCTTCTAGAAGGATAAGAATTGCATTTTAAAAGAAGTCTGTAGAAAAGTAAAGTCACAAGATGCTATTTTAAGACCCACAATAGCCCAAATGTGAAAGACTGTGAAATCTCAAGCCTTGATGAGACTGGGTGGAATGCTAGAATCTCTGGCAGGAATATCAAACGGAGCGATCATCTGGGAGAACCATCAGTCAGTTTCATGGCATGGTAAACATATTTCTATGGCTCAAGCAATCCTGCTCCTATTTAAGTGAGAAATGAAAATACATGTCCATGAACACACACACACAAACACACACACACTCCTTGTGTCAGCTTTTATTACAACAGACTAAAACTGGAAACAATACAAATGCCAACTGTTAGTTACTTTTTATTTCTCTTGTGGCTCACAGTTTTGGTTGTCCTTCATGGCAAGGAGGGAACGGTGGAATAGAACAGGTATCATCACGGCAGCCAGGAAGAAGGAAAATGGGAATACATTATTTTTTTTTATTTTTTATTTTATTTTTTTTATTTTTCGAGACAGGGTTTCTCTGTAGCTTTTGATTCCTGTCCTGGAACTAGCTCTTGTAGACCAGGCTGGCCTCGAACTCACAGAGATCCGCCTGTCTCTGCCTCCCCAGTGCTGGGATTAAAGGCGTGTGCCACCACCGTCTGGCTGGAAAATGGGAATACAGAAAGGGGGCGAGGCGAGATACACCCAAAGATTGGTCCACAACGCCTAGTTCCTCCAACTAGGCCTCACTTCTTCAATTTACACTCAAAATAAATCTAGCATCTGGGACCAAGCACTCAATATCCGCATTTTCCAGAGGCCATCTGTATTCAGATCATAGAATGGCTCAACAGGTAAGAGAATAAGTTAGTCAAGGTACCCCCATTATCTGTCACAGTCTCGTCAACTCAGAACTAACAAGTCCTGGTCAGCTGACCTGTCACAATACGGAAGAGCCCCATAAACACACTGGTGATGGAAAGAGCCATTTCTTACCATTTCTATAGAATCCTCCAAAGGCAGAGCTCATCCATAGTCCAGAAAGCAGTTTTGTTGTCGTCTACAGAGAGGACGTGTATCAAAGAGACTCGAAGAAGCTTTCTGGAAATTCCATTAGCAATGCTCTCAATCTTGATTGGTATGGGTGTGAACACTTGGTGTACTTACCGAACTGCACTTTAATAGGGTACTTTTTTGAGTTCCACCACACCTGCGAGACATGGTTCTCCAGCTGGGCCTCCATGCATGCTACATTCTACCAGCAGAGCCAGTCAGTGATGGAGTAGCCAAAATGTGTACATTTTTTGAAGACGATCTTAACTGTACCTCAAGCAACTGAATTTACGAGAAGAAAACAGGGGTGGAGGGAGAGACCAGCTGTACTCCAAGGGGAATTCTCTCATGGTAGACTTAGATACTATGTCATGTTGAGCAATACATGTAGAAGATTCATTGATGATATTGCATGGACCAGTGGCTCTTCATTTTGTATGATATATTGTTTGTTTATATATTTCCTTATTGTTAGGGATTTAAAGTGCTTCCTGTTAGGGCCATATTTTTGGTTGTTAGACCAAAATGTCCAAGGCTAGGTACTTTATAAAGAAAAGAGGTGACATCAGGTTCATGTTTTGGAGGTCAAAGAACATGGTACCAGTATGTATTCAGCCTTGGTGAGGGTCTCATAGTAGATGAATATGCAATAGGCAGAGCTTACACGGTGACACAGAAAGCAAGAAAGATTCTGGGGGAGGGAGCAGGCTTGTTAATGACAATCTACCCTTGTGGGACTTCCTGAGAGAAGAAGAAATACATTAATCTCCTCTAAGCTGCACCCTCAGTGACCAAGTGACTTGCACAAATAGGGTGGTTTGAAAGAAAATGGCCCCCAAAGGGAGTGACACTATCAGAAGGCGTGGCCTTGTTGGTAGGTGTGGTCTTGTTGGAGAAAGTGCCTCATTTTGGGGGCAGGCTTTGAGGTCTCATTTTTCAAGCTTTACTCAGTGTGACAGTCAGTCAACTTCCTGTTGTCTCTGAGTCAAGATGTAGGATGCTCAACTCCAGCACATCTGCCTACAGCTGCCATGCTCCCTGCCATGATGACAATGGGCTCAATCTCTGAAACTGTAATTGAGCCTACCTAATTGAATGTGTTCTTTCTAAGAGTTGCCATGGTCA